GTTCATGCAGCAGGAGGGACCAGGTGTCTGCAGCCCTTTCTCCAGTGTGACACAGGTATGATTTCAGTATCGGAGCAAAAAGGCGCCCCAGTCAAGGCCTGGTGCCATCCTGCTGGTGCTTGAACTTAAGCTGTATACAATAGGTGGTTGTGGATGCAGCAATCAAGAGACATGAGGTAGAAAACAGGTGAGAGAAGAGAGAGGCACAGAGGTATCCTTGAAGAACTGCAGTAATTCACTTGCACAAAGAGAATCTCAGAATGCAAATCCTACTCCTGTTCTTCATCCTCTCCTTGGAGGAGCCATCAATAATTTGACCATTACGGGTTTCTCTGATTGAATTTCTCCTGATTCCAGGAAAGCTCCAGGCTTGTGCTGTGTTTTGCTGCAACGAGAAGTATCAGATTCTCAGAAAGAGCCTCATCTGCCGAGGTTTTCAGACCCAAACTATTTAGAGAAAGATTTTTTTGTTGTCTGTTTATCTGAACTCAGAATGAACTGTTGAAAAGTTTGAGGTTTGTCCCTAATGAAAACATGGCTTTGAATCACTGAAATATCCCGCAGCATAAATACAGCCTTCAAAGTGAGCAGAGGTGGTTGTGCTTTCTTGGGACATGTTTTGCCTGGAGTCAAGGCTATTACTTTAAACTCATTTCACGGATATGGAAATCTTACAAATGGATCCCATACAGTTTCTGCTCTTCTCCTGAATGGTGGGAAACTGATTCCTGTAGCCAAAGGACAAGGATTCGTTGGAATCTGAAATCTCTAACATCTCAGATCTGAACCTTTTTTGAACGTTGCCTGGAACCAACCAGTGGGACTTGGGGTTAAACCACTCTTCTGACCGTCTCCAGCATGGCAGTTCCCATTCCAGCCTCCACTTCTGGCACTGAGGACCCTTGTACCAGCAGGACAGCATTGCCCACCACTCCTGAGTGATTTGTAGCCTCATGCAGTGCCACTTGGCTGCCTTTTGGCCTTGCTCCATTTGGCCTGACCTGTCTCTGAAACCCCGGACCAATGTAAAGGTTGATCATCACAGCAGGAAAAGATGTGGAGATACCCAAAGCTGATGAGGGATCATACTCCCTCCCTGTCACTTGAAAAAGGAAGCTTCCACTAATGCAATTTGGAACCTTATGGTGGGTGAGTAGTTTCCCCTGTCAGACTCATTAAAGGTTTGCAAAGTTATTTTGCAAAAAGCAAATAATACCAGTTGAGAGCTACCTTCTTGGAAGTGCATCATTTTGATGCCAACCTTTGTTGATTCATCATTGCTTGCTAGAAAGGAAGTTGCATTTCGTGTCACAACCACGTCTCGAGCAAAAAGCCTGAAATTTCCTTTTTTGAGAAGGTCGAAACAAGACATTGCAGCAATTTTCAAGCTTTGTTGCAACTTCATTTTCTTCCAGCCAGGAAGTTTGACAAAAATAATCCTTACTATGAAAAGTTTTGTGTTCAGCAAATCAACATTTCTGTGTTTTTTCCCAGAGAAAAATTCTCCTGGAAGAATTCCGGCTTTGAGGTTGGTTTAGATTTGAACAAACCAACAGTGTCTCCTAGTGGCTGACTCCAGGGGAATGGCCAAACCTGTCTTGTCTTCAGGTGTCTCTTCCTGACCCTCCTTCTAGATCTTTGCTCATCAGGGAGTGAGAGAAATAGGGAATGGATTGTGCTTACAGCAACAAACCATTCCATAAGCCATAGAGATCTCTGTGGCAGGCTGTTCTAGGCTACAGTTGGTGTTGAAGGGACGTGATGACATTTGAAGGCTGTAGCACTGGATCCTTGGCTCATCTGCTGATCAGCTTCCACCCTAGTAACACAAAAGCTCCCAGCTGCAGCCTAGCCACCATGCAGGGTTATCCATCCCTGGGTCCTGTCTTGGTGTCGCTGCAGGAGTGTGCTCCACACATCTCACAGCAGTCCCTTGTCACCAAATTAGTCCTGCCTCACACCAAATATGATCGCTAAAGGATAATTGTGTGCAGGTCTGGTGTTCTCAACAAAACAAGGACATGGAGCTGTTGGAGCAAGTCCAAAGGAAGCCACGAGGATGATCAGGGGCTGGAGCACCTCCTGTATGAAGACAGGCTGAGAAAGTTGGAGCTGTTCAGCCTGGAGAAGAGAAGCTGCGTGGAGACCTCAGAGCAGCTTCCAGTGTCTGCAGGGGACTACAAGGATGCTGGAGAGGGACTCTGCATCAGGGACTGCCCAAGCTGCAGTTTCATTGCTGATGTTTGTGACATTCATTTCCCAGCCTCACCACGCTAACGAACCATCCTCAGCCTGCCATGAGCACCCTGTTCCAAGGAACCCTCAGGCTGCTGTCTGGAGGGATGCAAGGATTGAGTGAGTTATTTTGCTTCTTGTCAAGAATTTCCTGGGATAATCCCAGCTGAGGGGAGACCAAGCACACCACCCATGTGCTGCTCCTTACAAATAGCTTAGGGCACTGAGTGTGACGTTCCATCACCACTGTCCTTACAGCAGCACAGGCCCTGGGGGCCCACAGGGCTATTTCAGGCTCTGCTGGGGAGCTGTTTAGATGCCATCCTACAACAGCTCTTTTCTTAGCTGTGATTTCACTGCCCAGGTTGTTTTGACATCATCAGGGAAGGGAATAGGATGGACAAAGCAGTCATTGATGTTAGGGAGAGAACTGCTGTCCCTGCAGCAAGGGGGGTGTGAGGAGGGCAGCCTGGTGATCATGTTGAGGTGCACCATGTACCATCTGAGCCATTCTTGCTAGAGACTAAAGAACTGAAAATTGCACAGTCCTTCCCCTGGTGTCCCTTAGTAATTAGCATATATGGATTATAATCATGAGGACTGAGGCTCTTAGTGCTCTTTCTCCTGGATAAATGGTTGAGCAGAAGACAGTCTATTGCATGAAGTAATTTAGCCCATGAATGATGGTTCATTAGCAGCCCACAGGCTGTCACTGCCTATAGTAGGGGATATGTGGGCTCTTCCTGCATTCTAGTTAACTCTTTTACCTTATCCTTCAGTCACCAAGGATTCAGTTTGCAGAGCATGGAGTTAAATGTGGCTGTGCCACAGTACTACAATGGTCTTCCCCCTTCAGAGCCTCAAATAATGCAGCAACATCCCCAAGAGACTGCCATCTTTTAACAGAGTGTCAAATGATGGATGTGGAATAAAAGAAGCTATTATCAGTCAGGAGATGAGTCAGATATGAAAATAACACCTTTTTTCCTAGACAATGTTATTACACTGAGGAAATGAAAAAGACTCATTTTCTTTTGCAAAGGAAGAGGCCTTGAGCATTAGAAATGCGCATTGCAGAGCCTGGTGCTGTGTGAGGGAGCAGCTCCAGTAAGTGAGCAAACCCCATCCCACCTTTTGTTGTGCCATGCTTTGGAGCCTGGGTGCTGGGCAGACATTCCTGTGCTTCCCAGGAAAGGAAGGTCTCAGGCTCTGTCTGGAAAGCGAGATCATAGTGCAAGGTAATTTGGTGCTTGTGATGGAAAAATCAGCTCTTGGATTTAAGCTGCATCTAGTCTTGCACATAAACTCACACTGATCCTGGAAGGGATCCTGACACTCAGGGCCATATTGCTGTCATTTAAACCTGCTGTACATCACCAACCAGGACTTCAGAAGGAAAAATCATCTTGGGGTTTTGTGGGGACAGTTTCCAAAGGGAAATAAATATCTCGAGGGAAATAAAACTATTGATCCTAATGACTTTCAGTGGAATTGTTCTGCAGCTGCTCCAGAAATGGGCTGGGATTCTGTGTTTCCAACAAGACTCGCAGGGACTGTCCATGAGGCTCGTCTGCTGTTCCCCTCAGGCACTCATCTGCCTCCATGGCTCTCTGTGCATCTGTTTGACCATGTTGCTTTTCTGCCCCATAGCCAGATGAGTTGACCAACGCCTTGGAGATCAGTAACATTGTCTTCACAAGCATGTTTGCCCTGGAGATGCTCCTAAAACTCCTTGCCTTTGGCCTCTTTGGCTATATCAAGAACCCATACAACATCTTTGATGGCATCATAGTTGTCATCAGGTCAGTGCCAGTTCTTTCTCCACTGTGGCTTTTCTCCTGAGGGCTCAGACCAGCTGGGGAGTGGGATGGGGAACAGGAATGATGTGGCCTGTGCTAATCCACAGCTCCCTGGCTGTGGTGTGCTATAATTATGCTGGCCCTTTAGATTTCTGTCATTAGAAGGCCTGTCCAAAGTCAGTGGACCTGGCAGATGGAGAACAAAGTCTATTTATGCCACACATCTGGCACTGTGGTCAGTTTTCCACTCAAGTGCAGAATGGCTGGTCCTGGGAAAGGAGTACTGTGAGTGTCCCTATCCCTGCAGCGTGCCCTCCCTCTCCCAAGTTAACAGATAGGGCAGACTAGTAGGGCAAGCAGGAGGGTAAGAGAGGGCACTGTTCTGCTGTCCCCTCCAGGGGAACACTACCAGCCTAAACTGGGGATGTCAAATCATGTGGGTGAGAAGGTTGTGCAGCATCTCTCCGTGCTGGGATTCTTTCTAGGGGTGCTGTTTGTCCCTCAATCAGTAATTTGGGGCAGAGAAGTCAAGGGAGACACAGAGAGTGTAAACAAGGAGAGTTCTTTTAGCTTCAGTTGTCCCATCATCTTTGATTCAGAGAAGTGAGAAGCAATAGAGGCCCAGAGCAAATGCCAGTCTGTGGCTTGATCAAACCAACCCACCCCAACAAATGTGAATCCCTCTGGAGATCAGCTTGGTACAAAACTGTGATCCACATTTGTGACAGATTGTAGTGATGCAGACCAGAAGGAGACATGCTGTGCTGTTAAGAGCCACAGAAAGCAAGGGAATTAAAGACTCAAGAAACCAACTATAAAGGATGTAGGTTGTGCATGTGGATCTGCACAGCTGGGAAGTGAAGGTGGTTTTCAGATGCAAGAAAGAAGTAGGCAGCTAAACTACCCCTTTAGAGCTTCTAGTGGTGTGATACCCTGTAAGAAACCAGCCTGCCCAAAGCTTTCACACTACAGACCTGCTGCTTCTAACTCTTGTCCCTCTGGTGTCCTGCAGTGTGTGGGAGATCATCGGCCAGTCGGATGGAGGCCTCTCTGTGCTACGAACCTTTCGGCTGCTCCGGGTGCTGAAACTGGTGCGCTTCATGCCCGCCCTCCGTCGCCAGCTTGTGGTCCTGATGAAGACAATGGACAATGTAGCCACCTTCTGCATGTTGCTCATGCTCTTCATCTTCATCTTCAGGTACCAGAGGCTGTCATCTCAATTACTTGTTCAGCTTGCTTAAGTAATGTGTAGATCAGAATAACAATGCAGTGCATTTCGTAGGCTGCCTACGTGACAGAAGTGCTTACAATAGACTGACAAGCAGACACTCAGCAGACTTTTCGGTCTCAGCTTTGCATGCAGTACAGTGATTCTATAGTGGAATGAAGTAAACAGGCAACATTTCCTCTGGAATTCCTGGGAGGCTCGTTTAGCTGTGTCTCAGGAAGCTGTCAGTAACTGGACTCTAGCAGTGTTATATTTGAGATGGATGTTGGACAGACTCCAAGATTTCTGTCTGTTTGGCCCTATAATGCTCCTCAGTATCCTGTTCTTGGAAACCAGTTGGATTAAGGAACTGGCAACATGATTTGTCATTTTCCAGACAAAGGAGATCCCTGACTTGACTTCAGTGTAGATAATTGTAATGAAATGTGACACAGAAGAACCAAATGGCAGGGTCTGATCAGTGATGGAGCAGAGCTGCTTCCTGGGACATACCACTGGCACACAAAACATTGGGAGTAGAAAAGTGTCCAATCCACTGCAATCCTCCCTGCAACCATATTTAACACAATAATGGGTTTCTTCGGTTTTTTTTCCCACTCTAGCATCCTTGGCATGCATCTTTTTGGGTGCAAGTTCAGCCTGAAAACTGATACAGGAGACACAGTTCCAGACCGAAAGAATTTTGATTCCTTGCTTTGGGCTATTGTGACCGTATTTCAGGTAAGCTCTGGATCCTCTGGGAAGCTTCATGTGACCACCTGGAGAAGTGAGTTTCCTTTTTTAAGGAAAACTATTCCAGTAGGTGTCAAATTTGGACTGAAACAGCGCTGTAGAGTTAATAGAGCGAAGTGATTGTGTTTCTGGGTTAGCTGGTCTCTATAAACGCTGATAGAGAAGCAAAATCATCACTGTGCAGATCTGTTGTCAGTAAAAGTAAAGTCTAAGAAAGCCTGGAAATCCACCCTTATTGTCCTTTCATACAGTCCGTAAGATCAAGACCCACAGTCTACTGTCCTGTACTGTAGATCTGCATCTCCTTACTTGCCTTCATCCCCTAAAAATGCACTTTGCACGCTCTTTCATCTAGCTGGGAGTGAGAGATACTGTCACAACTCAGGGCTGGAGGTTCTGGCTCTATATGCTGGGGGATTCTTTGTATAAAAAAGTTGTGCTGCTTCTGCAAACAAAATCTGTTCTGTGCTTGAAATTTCTGGCATATTCCACAATGGAGCAATAAGCTGCTATTTCCAGGACATCCTAAATATAAAGGTTAGTCTTTTCTGTTTAAAAGCTCAGTCTTTAGAGCCCAAGTGGAGCACAGTGTAAATAGTTTCAAGCAATAAGTTTCTGAATGCAAAGTAGATGTTCACCACAGTCTCATTCAAGACCAGTCCCAAGTCTTCACTGTGAAGAATAAAGCTTCTGACAAAGTTTTTCTCCTTACAAAGGAGCAAGGCAAAAATGAGCATTAGTCTCACAGCTCCACAGTTTCCTTTTACAAACATAAACACGGATTTCTGCATTTATTGTAACAGTCCCTTGGGAAATAGGGCTGGCTCTGAGCACAAGGGCTCAGTCCTGCATCCCCTGAAGGTTAGTGAGTGGCATGACTCAGTCCTATCCCCAGAGCTACCTCTTTTTTAGGAGGGTTAGAGGTCATTTCATTTGAAGCATGAATTGATGTGGAGCATGAATCTGTCATCCCTTTTTCTTAGGTGCCAGGGTTTTGGAGCTCCAGGAAAGTGGGAATCCCTGAGGAAGGTCTCCTGGAGCAAGGCTTTGCAAAGATGTGTATTTTGTTGCCCAGCTTGTCAGTGCTTTTTCCTAATGGAAACCACTTTGCATCCCTGAGTTTTTTGAGCCACCCAATGTCATTTGTCCTATCAAATATCATGTCCTTTACCCTTTCCTTCAGCTCCAGATGTCTTATATGAAAAGCAACCCAGCCTCAGGTCTGTTATCTTCTGATGGTTGTCAAAGGAGACAATCCCACCATCAAGTAATGGGACTTGTACCAGTGCATCCTTCATGCTGCCATAGCTAGGATCTGAACTAGTCCTCTCTGTGTGCAGCAGGGTGCTAGACCTTCCTGCAGAGAGGGGAAGTTTGGCCAAGAGACAGCTCTCACTTGCAAAAATCTAAGTAAAGGAATGTTTTACTGTCTCTCTTCATGAGACCTGATAATGCTTAATCCTCAGAAAAGGTCAAAAGGAGAGGAAGAAATGGATGAGTCAGTATCTGAATGCAGCTGCTGTGTATGAGAGGAGTGGAGTAACTACAGAGTCTTTCCCTTCACCTCTTTGCAGATCCTCACTCAAGAGGACTGGAACGTGGTCCTGTACAATGGGATGGCATCTACATCCTCATGGGCAGCACTCTACTTTGTGGCCTTGATGACCTTCGGCAATTATGTGCTCTTCAACCTTCTTGTTGCCATCCTGGTAGAAGGCTTCCAGGCAGAGGTAAGAGATCTGAGCAGAGGGAGGGAGAACACTGGGACACATGTAGGTGAGTGTGTAGGGATGAATGTATGTCAGCACAAAGGTCTACCCACGCAGGCAGCCCTGAATTGAAACTTAAGGGGTATAGATGAGCTGGGTTGGGCATGTGAAGCTCTTGTGACCCTCTCTTTGCAAATAAGACCTGCTGGACTTAGCATGGGACTTGGGAGACCAACACTCTGGCTGATCTGCTGCAGGATCTGTTGTGTGACCTAGAGGAAATGATTTAGGATTGGTTTAACTCACCAAATCTCCCATATGTCCTGAGTTTTGTGTTTCATTATGGTGGGCTTCTGGCCTTCAGTGTAGCCACTGCTAGTTGTGAGGACCAGGTACAATGTGAACTGGTTCTCAGACCAGGCCTTTCCTTGTGTCTCTGCCCCTTATGTGTTATTTGAGGCTAATAGCCCAGCTGCTCAAAAGCTGTGTTGCAAGATGACAAACATTAAAGTTTGAGATACTTTAGATGGTGTAGGACGTGGAAATGCTAAAGAGATTTTTACCTGCACCTGAATATAATGTCTGTATCAGGTCAGTGAGCAGGGAATTTAGGATAAACTCTAGCATCTCATCTCACATAGAAAGAATTAGAGATATGATATGCCATGTCCTGATGTGAACTAGGCAGGAACATCAGCAGCTCTGCAGGCAACTCTGTGCCACATGATCCAGAGCAGCAGCCCACAGTGGTGTAAGTGCTGTAGTACTGGTGTGAGTGGGGGCTCTGCAGCATCCTACATTTTCCTCCCCGCTTGCAAGTCCCTTCCAGATCTGCTTTCAGCATCTTGAGAGAGTGAAACCAGCCATCCTTTGCCCTGTCCTGCTCTTTTCCATCTTCCTTTCAGACCACAGCAAGTCCATTTGGGGGAGATGTAAAGTGAGGATGGTCTGGTTTGGTTGTAAATGTAACAATGTATGTGCATATATATATTGCTCAGAAACTGGAAATGGTTTTGAGACTTAGCAAAACTCAGCCAGTCCCTGTTAAAGCAGAGAATAATGGCATCAAAGGGGCTTATGTCATGCTTTGGGGGTTTATTAATTATTACTTCTTTATTTCTTCAACCATCAAGAAGGGCAAGTTTGCTCAGTGCCAGATTGTCTTCAGAGACACACGCACTCAGAAAGGAAATGAGAAAATGGCTTCA